ATAAGATTAGAGGGAAAATGTATTTTAAGAAATTTGTAAATTTTATAGACCCATTAGTCATTTTAGTTTGGTAGGCCAGTGCTTTTCAGAATTGTTTTCCTTGGATTAGATCTATTCAGGGTCATCTTTCTATAGCCACCTATCTACATCTTCTTCTATGCATCTTATGTCATGTTTTTCCTTTGAACACTTGTTTTGAAAAAGAGGAAGATTTCTAGAAGTATGTGGCTTATTCACATGTAATGTCTGCTTGGCTTTTTAATTAGCTTATCTGCAGCTTCATATATGCATTTATTTACTGTATGTGCTAGGTTTTTAGGCATTGGCAAATTAGCTGTCACCATTTATATCTGAGTGGGCATCAGTGTGTACATGCAGTGCAACATAAAATCAGATTGAAATTGCTAGTTTTTAGCAAATAAGCTGCTTAATTTTTAAAAATAGGTCCTTTGTGAAGTTGGTTATTTGACATCATATCCTACAAGAGGCCTGGTGCACAAATTCGAACATGGGTGGGTTCCCTAGGCCTGGCCTGCTGGAGCCAGCCCTTGGCCCCCCTGGGAAAGGGACCATGCCCACCACCACCAACCCCCGGTTCCCCGTCCCAGCCCAGGGCCCATAGGTCCCATCACCACCCCACAGTTCCCTACCTCCCCCCCCCCTTGCCGCCACGCAACCGCGGCGGGTGGGCCCCCTGGGAAGGGAGAGGACAAGAGTGAGACAAACCCTTGTGTCGAGGGCTGACTCTTAATAGGTCGCAGCAAGGGAGCTGCTCTGCTACATAAGAAACCCTGACCCCAAAGCAGGTCGTCTACGAATGGTTTAGCACCAGGGGCCGATGGGGGCCAGCGGCTGTGGGGAGGGACCACAGGCAGTTGGCTGTCCACGGGAGGTTGGCTGTGGGAGCGCACTGACCACCAGGGGGCAGCTCCTGCATTGAGCATCTGCCCCTGGTGGTCAGTGCGCGTCAGTGACTGGTCAGACTGTCGTTCTGGTTGTAACGGTCGCTGAGGCTTTTATATATATAGATGGAGTCAGCATTTCCCCAACTTCAGTTGTGCAAATGTAGGGTTTCTAAAATTTACTTTTGTTTTTCATACTCTTCATGTTCATGCCTTGATTTAAAGTGTTTTGATCATTTTTCTAATCTTCCATAATTCATAAGCAGCTTTTCTATATGCATTTTATTCAGAAGATAGAGCATAATGCATTCGAGGTTTTTTTTCTGTTTATATGTAGCTTTTAACTTAGTTGACTTCTTTCCCTTAATTCTCTCATTCATGTATATAAAGCATATCTATAACTTTTAAGAAATTACTATCTAGTTATGTATTATTCAGTTTTTTCTTAGAAATGTTTTATCGTCCAGGCATAATTTTGGTATTAAGAAGTTTAAGAGCCATTATATTAGCAGCCAACAGATCCAGAAATCCTTAATTTTCTGTCTAAATTTTAGAAAAGTCAGCTTTTTAAAAACATCATTGTATTTCTGAAGGAAAGAAATTTGCAGCTTCCTTTTCTTCTGAAGACTATTTTAAGTTGGATAATTCTGTTGAGGGGTGCTGTCCTATGCATTGCACAGTGCTTACCAGCATCCTGGTCTCCAGACTAGACAGTAGCACTACTCCAGTTGTGGCAATCAAAAATTTCTGTAGGAATTATCAAATGTCCCCAGAGTAGGAGGGTGGGGCTAAAATCACCCTGGTTGCCCTAACCGGTTTGGCTCAGTGGATAGAGCGTCGGCCTGGGGACTGAAGGGTCCCAGGTTCGATTCCGGTCAAGGGCATGTACCTTGGTTGCAGGCACATCCCCAGTAGGAGGTGTGCAGGAGGCAGCTGATCGATGTTTCTCTCTCATCGATATTTCTAACTCTCTCCCTTCCTCTCTGTAAAAAATCAATAAAATATATAAAAATAAAATCACCCTGCTTGAGAACCATTGTTATAGGAAGATGCCTCTGCCAATTTACTTACCTATTTTTTATTCTTAAATGACTCTGAGTCAGTATATGGTAGACGGGTAATAGAATTTTAAGACCAAGAAATGCATTACCCCTTAATCCCCTTCCCTAGCCACTATTTCTTTCTTAAAATTCATAGCTTAAAAAGATAACATTGAGAGAAGAAATGTCTGCTTTACAGTTTAATAAGATTCATAGTGTTCCTTTTGGACATAACTGTACATATATTACACACATATAAAGCCTGTCTACACTCCAAAAGGAATACAAATTAAAATTGAACACTGTAAAAAATGCCAAACAGAAACCTGTTGACAATAGCAAAAGCAGGTATTTCTAGGAATCTATAATGAAAACTGCTGCTATAGTTGAGCATTGTATTTAGTTTTGGGGCAACAAAAAAAACCAAAGGAAAACTCTTGAGTTAAGATTACGAAATAAGCGAGCCAACTTGATACCCATGAAGTTATATACTGTGTTGCCTGTGATGTAATACTTACTCCCTGTTCTTTTCTTTTTCCAAGATAAAGTGAAATCTTTTCGTGCAGCTCTACAAGAAGAAGAACAGGCCAGCAAGCAAATCAACCCTAAGAGACCCCGTGCCCTTTAAGTTGGCATTTGCTGCTAAAGGATCCCCAGAACCCTCACTGTTTTAACATACAAGGTTCAGCTGTAAGGGCCATTTGGAAGTTTGAAATTTTAAGTGTCTGTGGAAAATGTCTTGTCCCTTCACCTGAATGACATTTCAGTTTTGTGAAACACAACTTTGTCTACAAAATGCTTCTAGTCCAGAAGGCACAACCAAGATTTGGTAATAGTGAAGCATTTTGTTTCATTTACCCAAATAGTGATTTACTTTTGGAGATCCTTACCAATTTTATTTTCTATATGATGAAGTAAGATTGTGGACTTGATCCAGGGGTGAGTAGTAGGGGGAAGCCACAGCATTTCCTTTTAACTCGGTTCAATTTTCGTAGCAAGACTGAGCAGTTTTAAATCCTTTGTGTGCATGCATACCTCATCTGTGATTGTACATACCGTGCCACTCTTAGGGACAGCTGTGCTCACCTCTTTCTGCTTTGTGCCTTGACTAAGGCTATTGACCCTGAATTTCTGATGCACAGCCAAGTTAAATTACATTCCTTATTTGTCATTGTAAATTACCTTTATTGTGTGTACATTTTTACTGTATTTGAGACATTTTTTGTGTGTTGCTAGTTAATTTTGCAGGATGTGCCATATCATTGAATGGAACTAAAGTCTGTGACAGTGGACATAGCTGCTGGACCACTCCATCTTATATGTAAAGAAATCTGGAATTATGGTTTTAAAACTTTTAACATGTGGATATAATTTTCTTAGCATTTTCTTTGTAAAGAAAATATAAACTAGTTGATGTATAATAAAAAGTAATGGAATTCTGAGAAGAGTTTTATCTTAGGATAATACATATATATGCAGTGTGTTCCAGTGCGTTATTAACAAGACTAATAGTGCAATTTGCTCCTTACCAATACCATTACTTAAGTTGAAGTGTCCATTAGCATCCCAAAAGGTACCTTTTAAATGTACTGTTAAAGGAAATTGGCTTCTGATGCATGAACATTTACATAATACATTGGAAGTAGTCCATAATAGAACTGTTAGTTTAAGCCAAGTATAGACAGTACATAAATCCCTTGAAAGTGAATTAAGCTAACAAGAGTTGACTTTGCTTTAAAAGGCAGATCTAACCCAAGCTCCGTCCATTACCTAATGTATGATGTTTCACCATTATTTGGTGAGAACCACCAAATTCTCACCAATAAATTGGTCTAGGGTGTGCTACTTTTTAAATGGTAGCATTTATTTTTACAGATTGCTACTCCAAGGAAGAAAACTGGCTACTTCTCATGTAAATATTTTGTTAAACAATTTATATATCTCTCTAGGACATTTCCCTCAGCTCCTAGGAGAATCCAGGAGTGTATTAACAACAAAAAATCTCCCAAGGATATCTTGTTTTGACTTACTCTAGGAAAGTAATAGCTCATTCCTTTGAGCCACAGGGAAGCTATGAATACTAGTAGTCACATGAGCCAGATTCGCTACTTCACTTCAGACAACTCAGAGGGTAGTTGTGGGAAATCCGAATACCATGGTGAAATGCTCCTCTGTAAACTTGAAATCTAGAACAAATGTAGATTTTTCACAATGTGCTTATTAATAAATGGAATCTATGGAATGAGTTTAGAGATAATTTTCTTCAATGTAATCACCTTTGTTTTGGAAGGGACTCAGGTTTTCTTGCAGCTGTAAGATATGTTCTATTTGTGTTTATTTCAAAGAGAAGAGGAAGAATGGAGAACTATTGACCTTGCAGAGGCTGTGTAGAAAGGTAGTTTTTGAGCCTAACCAACCTTCAAAGGACAATAAAAAGGTTTGAGTTTTCTTATTGTAAAGCACAACAGATTAGTCTTATTTAAAATAGATGGATACTATCTCTAGAAGGTCCCCTTATATTTAAATGTGCTGCTTTATTCTATAATGGCTTCATTCTGATCAGTAATCAAGGTATATAAAAAATCAGTACACCAGAAAAGATCTTGGTAGTATAATCCAGTACTTCAGTTTTACAGATAGGGAAACTAAGGGCCAGAAAAGGGACTAAAACTCAGCAGTTACTAGGGTGTAGAGGAAAAGCTGAATGAATAAACCTTAGAATTTTCCTGTAAGAATAGAAATAGTACAAGTGAATTTTGCAAAGTAAAGTTTTTTGATATTTAAAAAAAGCTACCCAGGTATAATATTTATAACAAAAGTGGCTTGATACAGCTATTTTAAAAAAATTTGGATCTGAATTAAACATTCTTTACTTTCTCAGACTTGAAAGCTGATATTCCTATTAATAAGTAACAAAAAATACATTATTTTCATTATATAGGAATGCTTAATATCATTTTGAAGCATATTTGAAAAATAATCTGTTTAGGTAAACAAATTAACTTCCTTTCTAGGTTTACTCAGTGTACCTTTGTTAAAATAATTTGAAACACTTCTGTTAAGGTAGGCATAAAAAATGAAGATATTTTTATTTCCTTATATAAATAACCAGCTATTATATATAATTCTTTATTAAAGGACATTAACAATTAATATTGATAATGATTTAGACATAGTAACTAATTAAGATATGGTTGTGACATCTATTGAAATTATCATCCTTACATTTTAAATAGATTATAGCTAAGCATCAGGTATATAAAAGAGTGCTGGAAATTTTCATTATCCAGAAGTTATAGGAGGAATACTGGGAGCCTGTTCTTGTGGGAAAATTACTGGTTGAGTTTTGTTTTGAACTTGATGGGCAGATATTTTAAATGAAGTTTTGATTTCTAAAACCTCTGGAAATTTTGTTAAAACTATTACTATCTCCCCAAGAAAAAACATACAATCTTATAATTCATTTCACATTCTAGTTGAGCATCCTTATTTTACAGGTAAGGAATCATGCCCAGAAGTAATGTCTGGCACCACATGGTCTCAGGAGCAGACTCAAGCTTACCCAGAACCCTGATGTAACTGTGATGTTACAGGATAAGTAAAGGGGTAGGTAGGCAGTGATAGAAGTTATATAGGATAAACAGAGAGAAAAACAAAATTAAAATATAAGAAAATTGTTTTACTGTACATATGAATAATAATAAATGATATGGGGAATATGTGACTCAGTTAAGCATATTTAACTTTATACCTGAAGAATAAAGGACTAAAGAGTTGAAGGCCTAAATGGTCTTCACAGTAATATATAACATAGAAAATAGAGTAACATCTTTATACAACAACCTGTTAGAAATGAAGTTTAAGTGTCAAGTTGTGTCTATGGCTCTTGATAATTATCATGTATAGACTGGACCCTGCCCTGTGTTAAATATTAAAAACAAACCGGAAAAAAAACCTTGGGAACTTAAAATTGACTAAGTACCTTAGAAATTTGGACTAATTACTAGTAATAGTAACATTAAATCAAAAATAGTCAAGCACAGTGTCCCAGTGGAGGAAAAGCATACATATCTTCTCAAATTATTAAAAATATATAATTCAAGTTTCTTTTCTTGAGTTTGAAAATTCTGTTTTCCAGATACCTAAGAAAAATGGATACCTTCTGCATTGAATCCATGTAACAATCTGAAAAGAGCCAAAGTGAGATGGTATTAAAAAACTAATCTGTAGCACATAACGATCAGTGCATATAGTTCCTATACCATGAATTCTAAAACATGAACACATCAGCAAACCTATGAAGCCCACCCCCTTGGAACACTAGTCATTAAAGAAACATTCGCCAACTAAATGTATAAGACCCATCTTTTTAATACTTCTTTTTGTCATAGCCTGTATGTCTTAAATTATGAATTTGACTAAAAGTATCATAGACCTCTACTATCCCAGACCTAAGAACTCATTAGCAATGGTTTCAACATGGTAAGTGATTAAGAAGACTGGAAGAAATTTGGTGAGAATGAAAGAAAATAAGAGGAAATATTTCTATTTAGACCGGAGATTAGTTTTAGGATGGCTTGTAGGAACAGGTCAAGATGGGTTAGAATGTCTAAAAAAGGAAGCTAGGTATTTATGAGTAATATTTAACTTCTAGGATTAACATTGAATAAAGACTCAGTAGTATTACTAACCTGCCAATATAAAATGTAAACCCTACTTGTCTTAGTTATATAGAACTGTGTTTCCAGCTTAGAAAAGTCAAACCAATGACTTTTGTAACCATCTACCCTTGTTTTTTTTTTATTCGGCCCCTAGACCAGTGCTCGGCAAACCGCGGCTCACAAGCCACATGCGGCTCTTTGGTCCCTTGAGTGTGGCTTTTCCACAAAATACCAGCTCTTCCACAAAATACTGACTTCTGCCCATGGGCCACGAAGTTTCAATCGCACTGTACGTGCGCACCTGCACGTGGTATTTTGTGGAAGAGCCACACTCAAGAGGCCAAAGAGCCACATGTGGCTCACGAGCCTCAGTTTGCCGACCACGGCCCTAGACCATCGAAGCTTTAAAAATGAATTAGCTAAAGAGGCAAAAATTTCTATATTAAGTGATGGTTTATGAGGAAACCAAAGTGTTAGTGATTAAAAACAGTGAGTACAGGTTAATAATTATCTGGATAACTGAAGCCTTACTCTATTTTCATGAGACTTGTATAATTCAAGGAAAATAAATTTTGGTGTACATTGCCCAGATATGATTGTAACAAACTATTTCATGCTTAGGGTCTATTTAACAATAGCTATGCCCAATAAAGAAAAAAGTGAGAGCCCTAGCCGGTTTGGCTCAGTGGAAAGAGTGTTGGCCTGGGGACTAAAGGTTCCCAGGTTTGATTCCAGTCAAGGGCACATGCCTGGTTGCAGGCTCGATCCCCAATAGGAGGCATGCAGAAGGCAGCCAATCAATAATTCTCACTCATCATTGATGTTTCTATCTCTCCCTCTCTCTTCCTCTCTGAAATCAATTAAGAAATATATTTTTTTTAAAAAGGAAAGAAAAAAGTGAGATCCAACTACATGTCTTAGGGTTCTTCCGCCCACAGTAGGTTATGAATAGGGAGTTAGAGAAGGGAGTTAAAGGGTAGGAGCATACACACCACAACACACTGACACAGGCATCTCCGGCTAGGACTGTTACTTACTCCTGTTCTTAAAATGTTCATTCTGCTGCAGCTAACTAGCCTCCATCTTCTACACCAAATACCATTCTATGCCTTGGAAGTGCTATGCAATAACTCCCAGGTAGCACTTTACACCGCTTAAAAGCCTTTAAATCTCTAATCTTAAGGTGTCACAGTAAAGAAATGTAAACACTTAGGAAAAGAAAAATGTAATTACCTGATGAAGTCATCTATGTCCATGGAACGGGCCCGCTTGTCACTAAAACCTGTGCTGGTTAGGATTTGCTGTATTTTATCTGCTATGCTGAAATCTTCTGGTATTATCTATCAAGATTCAGAATAAATGAACAACATATCTTTAATGAAGTCACCTTGACTCTATTTCTTTTTAGTTCAGTAAGTCATAAAATAGTTACCATCTGTCCATTACTTGCATCTCTCTAAGTGATTAATCTTTAGCACATACCAAATACTCAGAAGTCCTCCAATGAATGAATCAAGAATATTGTCTTCTTTTTAAAAAATTCTATCAGTTTCAGCTTTTCATAACAAAATAATTGGAGCTGAAACTAAATTTTAAAGCAGTTGTTACTCTTTTTAAAACAACTCACATTTTCTTGGCACCAATCTCATTTTTCCAGCTTAATTTTTCTCTAAGAGATGGCCTCCAACCCTTAATAAATATTAAATATATCAGACTTTACATATTTTATCCAAAGATTTTTCTTAATCCAGCTTAATACTTTCTTAAGCAATGTTTAATGATTTTGTCTATAAAAGAAAATGGAGGTAGCAATGTGATACCTTAAGCCATAGGAGTCCAAAAATAGAACGGGAATTTGCTTTTTTCTGTCCTGTTTAATTAATTTGAAAGAACTAATAAATAGTCATTATATATGGACACTAGGGGCCCAGTGCACAAATTTGTGTATGGGTGGGGTCTGGCCGGCTCGCCCCTACCAGGCCAATCGAGGCTAGCCAACAGGGGGGAGGGGCCGCAGGAAGTTGGCTGGCCAGCCCCGTCCCCATCAGGCCGGTTGGACAGCCACAGTGCACGTCATAGTGACCAGTCATTCTAGTCGCTTGGCTTTTATATATAGATGTTTATGTGTGCTCACAGACACAAAATGGCTTAAAGAAAATGTTGCACAGATAATGATTAAGAGGCATGAGGCTCACAACCAGAAATCTGCTATTTAGTCTACTTTATCCTAATCAATTTCTAGGTATTGACATTTAAAATTTATAATTGCTATATGAGCAACAGACAAGAAGGGATGGTCACAATTATTTTAAGCTGAGCAAACTGCACATGCCTACACCTTTGAGGAAATTATGACTCAGTTGAATCTATGGCTGAAACAGCTATCAGTAGTTAAAGAAGATATAGTGAAGTAACTGAGATTTCTCAGATCTGTTCCACAAAATATACATGAGCACTGACTTGTTAAAGTTGTGGTAGTTATACATTGCTTGTGATCTTTTAAGGATCTTAGGGAATGTACAAAATTAAAGAATCTTGATGGAAAGGAATAAGAAATAGAGGGATATTTTAAAACACAACAAATTGAAATCACAAACATTTTCTGCTTACAGTATTATGGACTGAACAGTGAATTCTGTAGTTTTTTTCCAATAACTGCTGTACTGCACTTGACCTGTAGCATAAATGACATTAGTATTATTATTCCAAAATTAGAGATTATCAATAATTTCCTTTTATTATCAGATAAAAAATGTTTCACATGGTGAAATTAAGAAACTAAAAAAGGTATTGAATACTTAAAACTTACAAAACAACCACAAACTACATAGTTATATTTAAAAAGTAAAGTACTAATAAACATCTCCAATTCTTAACACATTAAGCGCCAAGCCTGTTTTGTCTTCCTTTCCATTTCAATAACTAGTGACTGACATGGCACTTAACATGTTAAGGGAATTCCAGACTCTCCACAAAACATCACCTAAAAAAAAAAAGAAAAGAAAATCTAGCCAGGCTGATGTTGCTCAGTAGTTGAGTATCAAGCTGTGAACCAGGAGGTCACGGTGCGATTCCCAGTCAGGGTACATGCCAGGGGCTTTGGGCTTAATCACCAGTGGGGGGTGTGCAGGAGGCAGCCAATCGATTCTCTCTCATCACTGATGTTTCTCTCCCTCTCTGAAATTAATATATTAAAATATATATATATACACACACACACACACAATTAAACCTTTCACCTCTCTTGTACCCCAAAGTGCTATTACATTTTTCCAAGTAAATAAAATTAAATGAATCTTACACAAATGTGGAAGGGGTCCCCCATCACTATTTTTCCAAGGAAAAAGTAGGGAGATATGTAGTCAGTTTTTGTTTTTTCCCTGTATTGCCAATAAACCTGATCTAATTCCCAACTCTAGGAACTTTCTTCATTAAATTCTTCTGCCTCCCAAAGTACAAAGTCAGTTAAAAAGGTAAAGTGTGTCTGGACATGGGCAGTCATTATGCTTAGGATATACATGTTCAGGAAAAGGACAAAATTCTAGCAGTTAGCCTAGTGTCTGGAGCATTGGTCCTTCATACATTATAAATCAGTAAAATACTTACTTAAATGCAGCAGACAGTGTCTTGTTTTTCCTAACAAAGGTGATCCTTACTAGGCCATCCCATTCCTGAAAGAAAAGATGAATATTTTCTTACAAAATGTCAAACTTCTTTTCTAGGCCTGCTAGGTATTATTGTGTCTACTAACATATAAACCTGGAACGAACCTTCTGGAGTGATGAAAATGTTCTATATCTTGATGTGGCTGACACATGCAAAAGTAAGATGTATACTTTTTTTTAACTTCTGTACACCTCACTGAATATTTTAACCTCAATTCCAAAAAATACATTATTCCACATCTGAACAAAGAACAATATAGTATTTGGGCACCTAAAGTGTCATATGCCATCTGTCATTTAAAAAAAAACATGATTCAGGGATACATGCAAAAAAATAAAACTAGACCACTTACACCATACACAAATTAGACCACTTACGCCATACACAAAAATAAACTCAAAATGAATAAAGGACTGAAACGTAAGACAGGAAACCATAAAAATCTTAGAGGAATCCACAGGCAGCAAAATCTCAGACATGCTAAAGCAATATCTTCACCGATACAGCTCCTAGGGTAATGGAAACTAAAGATAAAATAAACAAATGGGACTACATCAAAATAAAAAGCTTCTGGCACAGCAAAAGAAACCATCAACAAAACAAGAAGAAAGCCCACTGCATGGAAGAACATATTTGCCAATGTTATCTCCAATAAGGGTTTAGTCTCCAACATTTACAGGGAACTCATACAACTTAACAAAAGGAAGATAACCCAATCAAAAAATGGGCAACGGACCTAAATAAATACTTTTTGAAAGAGGACATAAGGAAGGCCAAGAGACATATGAAAACATGTTCAAAGTCACTAATCATCCAAGAGATTGATAAGCCACTCCATTTACCACCAGTTATTGACCACACAAGCATGTTTTTATCCAAAGTGGTTGCAGTAAGGTTTTATATCAAGGGATCTGGTTTCCTTCCCTTTTAAATCACAAAAATAAGAATTTTGATTAAAAGGTGTTTCCCATACATAATATTATTCTAACAACTATTTTCACCTCATCTTGTTTTCCAAGTCTTACTCAAATAGAAAGTTTTCTATACCTATAATCCTCCACAAAATGCAATGGGATTCTAATCTTTTTACATTTTGTGAACATTTTCCATGTGCTTTTGTGGTCTTCACAACTATCTTGAGTCAAATTATTCCATCTACTCTGTCACAGGATGTATCATAATTAACATTTTCCTGTTAGGACATTTAGGTTGACTCAGTATTTTTCTGCTGTTACAGACACACATCTCCCAGCTTGGACATTTTTTTTCCATCACTGAATGACCTAGCATTTTAACCTCACCTGAAAATTGATAGGTGGTGGCGGATTCTTAGGTTCTATTCTTACAACACTGGATTCCACCTTGGGTGGTGGTCTGAAGTTATTCTTTCCAACCTGTTAATCAGAAAATGTTTCAGTAGTCATCTCAAAAATAACTAAATTAGTAATCAAATATGCTCTCCTCACAGACAGCACAGCTACATACCAGAGGATGAGTTAAGTCACATTAGTTCAATAATAGTCACTTACTTTCATTAAATGGTCCACACGGGCTAACAGCTGTGTATTAATTGAGAGTCTGCAGTATAACTTATCCCCAGGTTTTGCAACCAGTCTGAGAGCAAATTCTCTTTGAAACATAAGTACAGCACATCTGAAAAGACAACAAAAAGGAATAAGGAAAATGGTGACTTTCAACTATTAATATATTTGAACTTCAACAGATTTTCTTGAGCAGGAAACAGAGCAAAGCAACACCTGCAGTTCATGACAATTCGTCTAGCTGGTTAGAAGATAGGAGAACACCAGCCTTAGCTTTATTATCACAAAATGACCCAGTTGGCTTTTTTCATTTTATAATGGCTATACCTCTCACCCCTTGCCAATGTAAGCCCTCAATGATCAAATGAAAAAGTATTTCAGATCAGCACCAATCTATCTCACCCCTTCTAGGAAAACAAAACCCAAAAAACTAAATTGGCTCAGTAGATAAATTATATTCATGGGGTAGCAAACACCCTTATGGAAGAGCTGAGGCAGGTTGTGAAATCAGTGTCCTGATTTAGCAGATTAAGGAATATAGTTTGTTTGTTTTTCTAATTCAGCAACCAATGGCAGGCTTTTGGAGGTTCTTGAACAGAAAATGACCATCTTCAAAGGTAGGTTTTGACTCAAACTTTTTTGAATGTAAGTCACATTAAGAAATACATTTGACATTGCCACTCATGCCACAAATATCTGTATGTGTATGTGCCTATGTAACTTAAACAAAAGTTTTGTAAAATTATGATCACCTGGGCCACATGCACTTAAGACCCTCTGATATATTCCATTCCATATCATTAAAAAAATAAAAAAGACAATCATGACCCAGTGAATTTATTTTATAACCACTAAGGGGTTTTTGGCTTGCAGTTTGAAAATGATTGGTATAGATTATCCTAGAAACACTTTAGGAAGCCACTGCAGTTGTGTAGACATCTATCCTGTATAATAAAAGCCTAATATGCTAAGTGTCCGGTCATCTGTTCAACCAATCAAAGTGTAATATGCTAATGATATGCTAAGGCCGCTCAACCGCTTGCTATGACATGCACTGACCATGAGGGGGCAGATGCTCAGACTGGTAGGTTAGCTTGCAGCCGGGGTCCAGCCAATCGGGACTGAGCAAGATGATCCGGACACGCACTGGAGCTTCCCACGGTCCCTCCCTAACTGGCCAACTTCTACGTCCCTCACCGGCCCCGATGGGGTCCCTCAGCCTTGCCTGCGCCCTCTTGCAATCTGGGACCCCTCAGGGGATGTCAGAGAGCCAGTTTTGGTCCGATCCCGGAGGCCAGGCCAAGGGACCCCACTGGTGCACAAATTCATGCACTGGGTCTCTAGTCTAGATATATATATCCTATCTAATAATAGACAAACATGGTAATTAACCATACCTCCGCTACGCTTCCCATTGGCTAATCAGGGCGATATGCAAATTAACTGCCAACCAAGATGGCGGCCAGCAGCCAGGCAGCTGAAGTGAACATGAGGCTTGGTTGCTCCAGTGATGGAGGAAGCCAAGGTTCCCCACCTGCCGCAGCCCAGCTCTGAGCTGCACTCTAAGAAACAATGTATCAATTATAGAAGCTAAACAAACCCTAGATACCTGCTTTCAGCCAGCCGGCCTGAGCTGGAGCCGCAACTAAGTTTCAATTACAGAAGGTAAATAAATCCCAGAATAATAAAAAAAAAAAGGAAAAAAGGAGACTGGGAGCTTCCGTTGCAGGCTTGGCCCACCTGAAAAGGGCCCTCAGCCCCTCACCCAGGCTGGCCAGGCACCCCAGTGGGGACCCCCACCCTGAAGGGGGTGCGGGCAGCCTGAAAAGAGCCATCAGCCCCTCACCCAGGCTGGCCAGGCACCCAAGCGGGACCCCCACCCTGATCCGGGACACCATTCAGGGCAAACCAGCCGGCCCCCACCCGCGCACCAGGCCTCTATCCTATATAGTAAAAGGGTAATATGCAAACTGACCCTAACAGCAGAAAGACTGGGAATGACTGGTCACTATGACACACACTGACGACCAGGGGGAGACGCTCAATGAAGGAGCTGCCCTCTGGTGGTCAGTGAGCTCCCACATGGAGGAGCTCTGCTCAGCCACAAGCCAGGCTGACGGCTGCCAGTACAGCGGTGGTGGTGGGAGCCTCTCCTACCTCCTCAGCAGCACCGGGCCTCTAGTATATATATAAAAGCCTAAGCAACCGAACAACCACTTGACTGGTCGCTATGATGTGCACTGACCACCAGGAGGCAGATGGTCAATGCAGGAGCTGCCCTCTGGTGGTCAGTGCACTCCCATAGCTGTAGCACTGCTCAGCTGACTGAGGGGCGCTACCACAGCAGCACCCTACTGAGCAGCGGTAGGCGCATCAGGGCCAGGATGAGCGGGAGTAGCATGGTGCCCAGCCCAGGCTCCTCTCCAGCCGCTTGCTGCTTCACACACTACTACATGCCTTGGGGGAACCAGCAGTCCGACATCCCCTGAGGGGTCCCGAATTGCAAGAGGGTGCAGGCCAGGCTGAGGGTGCAGGCCACTGGTGCATGGGGCCTCTAGTAAGGTAACAAAAAGTCTAACCTGAGGATGAGAAACTAGGGAAAAGTTGCTGATCTCAGAAGCAGGGTTTACACCACACCTCCCCTAATAACTCAAATACAAAAAGAGAGAAAGACCTCCACAGAAATTGATATTTTCTACCAAACTATCCAGTCGTTTTTCAACTGAATTAACTCTCTTTACAAAAAAAGTTTTAATTGTTTTTTTTTAGAGAAAGACAAAGATAGAAACATTGATCACAGAGAAACATCAACCGCTGCCTCCTACAAGCCCCCTACTAGGGATCGAGCCTAAAACCCAGGCATGTGCCCTGACCGGGAATTGAACCAGGGACCTCTTGGTACATGGGATGTTGCTCAATCCACTAAGCCACACCGGCCAGGCAATTGAATTAACTTTCATCTTTAGCTGTGTTCATGACCTAATCTGTCAATTTTCTTGTTGAAAACTGTCAATTTTTCTACTTGTTTGGCAGTCATTTTGGTGTTTGTCACAAACCTGAAAAAAGGTCGATGCAGCAACAATTTGAAGACAAAAGGAGAAGAGATCTGTAAAAGAATTAATTAGTTATTTCTGGGAAAGACACACCAGAGAAACATTTAATATAATGTTCCCAAAAATCTGAAAACATACCTGATAAGGCAAATTTGCTACACAAGCATCAAAGAATGGCAAATCTGTTTTCAACACATCACCCACCAATACTTGAAGTTTGCTGGCCAGAGGTCTGATAATAAAAAAAAACAAAAAACTTAAAAAGAATATTGTCTTATGAGATTGAAATGCACTTTAATTCCATTATGAATACTCACGTGCCCTGAACTCTTTTGTGCAGTTCAGCTACTAGCCTTGGGTCAAGTTCACAGGCAATTACCTAAATTAAAAAATAATAATTATGGAATATAAAGCTATTCTTATCTTAATAGTAATTCTTACATGATTTACATGAACTAAATTTCTTTTTTCCAATTCTACTACCAATATTCTTTCAATTGTTCCCTTCCATTTCAAACAATGGAAAACACCACCCAGAAAGGTGGTCAGCTAGAGAGTACTACACAAATAATGGACAGAATTATGTTCATTTGGCTCCATGTTTGTAACTGAACAGAGGATGAAAAAAATACACAAAAGTCTGTGTAGTAAATGTTCTAGATCAGTGGTCGGCAAACTGCGGCTCGGCAAACCACGGCTTGCGAGCCACATGCGGCTTTTTGGCCCCTTGAGTGTGGCTCTTCCACAAAATACCGACTTCTGCGCATGGGCCATGAAGTTTCAATCGCACTGTATGTGCATGCCCGCACGTGGTATTTTGTGGAAGAGCCACACTCAAGGGGCCAAAGAGCCGCATGTGGCTCGCAAGCCGCGGTTTGCCAACCACTGTTCTAGACAGACGCACAGAAAGACAACTGCTCCTAGAATGAGTGTATCATTTCTTTCATCTATTAAGTTCAGAGTACACAGCATAGATAATTTCTGAATGTAAAGGGATACCAGGTAAGGCTGAAATTGTCATTTTAACTCACTATCAGCTGAGGTTTAATGACTTCCAGGAAGACCATGTCTGCAGACTAGATACATGTGCTGCTTAGTCTATTTGACTTTCAGTTCCTTTCTCCAGCTTTCCCTGTGCCCTGTAGAGTGATGCAGTCCCCTCCCTTGCCCTAGATTTCTAGCTGGGATTAGCCAATGAAAGGAACCAGCATTTTAGGGCATAAGGACAGAGGCTGAGTATTTCCTAATGCCCGCCCATGCCTTTCAGGTGTTCTGGCAGTGGCTGTGTTCCACTATCAATGGTCCCTGTTCAATGACTCAATAACACAGTTCCCTCCTCTTGTCCCTAAGTCCTCTGAACTGTTACCTGCTGTTGCTAGTCCCTGGGTCTTTCACTAATGCTTACTGGTTCCCTTTAACCCCATTTCCACACATTTTATAAGTAGTCTCTTCACTAAAGTCTCTTCAAATAAGTGCCTTAAAATGTGCTACCTACTTCTACCCGAGGACAGAACAATCGTTCCATTTAATTGGAAACTGGGTCAGCCAAGAGACAAAGAAGACACCAGCAGTGGCCAGGTGGTACCCCAAAGTCAGGGGCCTGTGTTCTAGCTCTTTAGGTTCCAAAGTTCTAGGTTCCAATAACTCCAACTTCCTTCCTTGGTTTCCCTGAGCTTAGAGGTGATAACTGCTTTTTGCAATTATTATTCTTGGGTTACTTCAATGTTCTCATTTTATTCTTTTAGTCCTGTAACAACCATGTAACCAATTCCCTGTACTAATTTCCCTGTATTGAAATATCTAATGTGGTTTCTGTTTTCCTGACTGATACAGCCCACATTTTCTTTTAATCCCTTTAAAAGAATTAAGATATAGTTGACATATAACATTATATCAGTTTCAGGTATACAACATAATACGTATATATTCCAAGATAAGTCTAGTTAACATCCATTACCACACAGTCACAATTTTTTTTTGTTTTATGATTAAAACTTTTTTAAAATCTACTCTCTTAGCAACTTTCAAATACACAGTACAGTATTGTTAACTATAATCACCAGGCTGTCTGTTACATTCCCAGGACTTATTTTATAACTGGAAGCTTGTACCTTTTGACCACCTGTACCCATTCACCCATGTTTTCTAAGATAAAATTTCTAGCAAAGGATTAAGAGTTACTGTTAAAATAATAGCAATTAATTAAAATATTTATATTTATAAACCACCTGAGCTTACTCATATAGTCATTTATGACACCAAACATGAAATCCTTTTACCTTTTTTGCCTTTTCTAGCAACTTAACAGTCATATTGCCAGTTCCAGGTCCAACTTCCAGCACCACATCAGTTGGTCTTAAGGCAGCCTGCAAGCAAACACAACCACTTTAGCTTCCCTGACCACATAATTTACACCTGAATATCTTTGCTAGAAAGCACTCTATTAAGACATTTTATTCTAACTCAATTTTTAGGAGTTTCTTCATGATCTATATGCTTAACAAAATTATCTAACATTTGGTGCAAGTGGAAATCTGACACTTTTCCTAACTTGGGACAATAGTTAGGAGTCAGAAACCCACAATAGTTCTTTCTGGGGTTGGCATTTTGCTTTCTACCTTGGAAATGATTTCAATAGCCTCTTGCTACCAAGTCTGCTATCAATAAATTCAAACTGGAAAGGACTATATATACACAGTAATGATTTTGCCAGAGAATCATAGTGTGCTGTACCAGGATTTCTCAATTCTCAACATATGTTTGTTTTCAGGGATGCGGGAGTACCCAGAAATTGTACAAATAGTGGATGTTTGTATGCACACAGCTGCAGTATTCTGGATCCATAGCTATTATCAGATGCTCAAAGGAATCCATGAACCAAAAATGTTAAAAAGCTAGGCCAACCCTCATTTTGCAAATAACAAGAAGTCAAGATGAGGTCCTTTAATTATGTAATGCTTTCTACTGCTCCAGGATGCTCCCTTTGTGGCCATGAAAGTAATTTGCACCTCCTGTATTTCATGTCCTAGCATCCCCAATCATCTGAAACAATAGAGAACATCAATAACACATACCGGAGGAATACTCCAAAGAGTTTATATGTGGAACTGCACTGTATCATATAAGTTTTTCTGGGGGAACAAACTTCCTAAGATCTCTGTTTATCTTTAGCCTCTGAAGTAAATAAAAACTAACAGTCATGGGTGGTTCCTAGAAAAAGTGATTGGGGAATAATAATAATCTGGAATTGAACAAATGTCCAGCTATGAAGTAAATAATCTATACAAAGAAAAAGAATTCGGAACCAGTAGAAATCCAGACTCACAGAATTAAAGCAAATCATGGCAAAGACAGCTTGTGAAAACTAGAAAATTCTTCAGTTCATTCAACAAGTCTTTAAAGAGCATCTACTTTGTGCCAGACATCCTCTGTGCGCTCAAATATTCCTAATAGTAATTACTTAGTAACTCCCTTTCCTTTTCCACACCCACCTTATCGATAATGCTGTTAACAATTAGAGGATTTTTCAAAATGTGCTGCCCAATCCCCGTGTTGAACATGAGTCCTGAAAGAAAACACGAAACAGCCTTAACTTTCCAACTACTATTAGGTATTAGAAGACGGTCGCAGACAAGAAGGCACCTGAGAAGATGGGCGGAAGATTTGTGCGCCAACGAGACGCAGCAAACGTCACCCCTGGAGCCCGGCCTGACGCTCAGCCCATAACTTCTGCGGGAAAGGAAGCCGGAGACAGCGCGCAGGGCCCGCGGCCCGCGCCCCCGGAGTCCCAGGACCTGAGATCTCACTGTCCCGGCCCAGAGCTAGGTCCAGACCCCGGGCTCAGCTCCCGCCGGCAGACCCGACCCGACCTCAGCTCCCGCGGGGCGGACCCACCTCCCGCGCTCTTCAGCTCCCGGCCCTGCTGCCGCTCGCGGCGCCGGCCGCTCGCCCCAGACTTGATCTTGGGCATTTCTGCAGGCAGCGGGCGCACAGGCCCAGGAAGTCGGCGGGGACCAGAGCCCGCTACCCCAGTCACCGCACCACGTGGGAACCGCCGGCCGCGCCACCGAACCACTCCCAGCCCCTTGGGGAGGGGAGGGGAGAGGCGCGGGCCCGCCCCCCGTTCGCTCTGGGCTCCGCCCCCAGGAAGAGGGCCGGCCTTGGAGCCCAGGGGCCGCCGGGCATTGTAGTCATGAGCTAGAGCAAAGCCTAACCGTGGAAGCCTACAGGTCCCAGAAGACACCGCGCTACCGATTCTGAAAGTTTGGATTGGCTAGGCTTGGTCTGGGCATGGCCTGCCGCCCCAATGAGCACAGTTGGTTAGATAGGTTTTGGTATGGTAATCCCCATGGTTAAATGGTTTTTGGTATGGTACTCTGGGGATTGTGGAGGTTTAAGTTCTATAAAGCGATTAGGCCTGGTGGAGGCTTTATAGAAACCAGGTTCTGGGATCGTTGATGTCCAAAGAAGGTTTCTTTCTATCACCGTCTCTCACTCCTGTTTCCCAGAACAGGTTGGGATGGAAACCCAGGATGTTGGGTTGAGGAATTTGCTCCTCTGGGGGAGTGATTTCTCTACTTGCGCTTTGGAATGCCATCCCGAGAGTAGAATGTAGTAAGTGTCTAGTTCCACTAGGGCAGCGGTTCTCAACCTGTGGGTCTCGACCCCTTTGGGGGTCGAACGACCCTTTCACAGGGGTCGCCTAAGACCATCAGAAAACACATATAATTACATATTGTTTTTGTGATTAATCACTATGCTTTAATTATGTTCAATTTGTAACAATGAAAATACATCCTGCATATCAGATATTTACATTACAATTCATAACAGTAGCAAAATTACAGTTATGAAGTAGCAACGAAAATAATTTTATGGTTGGGGGTCACCACAACATGAGGAACTGTATTAAAGGGTTGTGGCATTAGGAAGGTTGAGAACCACTGCACTAGGGCTACTAGTTGCTTCGCTTCCGTTCGAGCCATGTCCTTCTCCCTATGCATTTATTGAGCTCCAGCTGTTTATTAAATACTGCTGGGTGGTGGGGAGTCAAAGTAAAATAGGAAACTGGTCTTCTCAAAGTTTATCCATTGAGAGAGACAAAAACTACTAAATTCAGTAAAAGTGGTAATTGGTATGCATTGGGTATTGTGCTAAGGACAAGGTATCCAACCGTACAAGGTATCCAGATCACAAGGTCCCTGTGTGTTGTGCCTGCCAGAATAATGGCTTTAGTTTTTAATGTTTCTGTGTGTACCCTGTTTCCTTGAAGAAGTTTTCTTCTGTCATGACCAAAGCTGACTCTTCCCTGGGAATTAATTTTGTGTATTCCCAAGCCTTAGTCTTTTTTTTGCTGTACTTTAACACAGGAGAAAACAACTACCTATTTCATTCCACTAATCATTAATTTAGTGCACAATTCTGGAAAATCTAGTGTGCCAGCCATTGTATCAAATGTTAGGAATAAAAAGATGAACATGACATGATCCCTGCTTTTAAAGAATTTTCTGTCAAGAGGGAGACATGCAAATAACTGCAATCATGGAACCATTTCCTGATCAATTAGGTGTCAGGTGCTTTAGTTACATGAACTCATTCAACATTTTCAAACAGTTCTCTGAAATAGGTCTTATCATTATATCCATTTTACAGATGAAGAAATTGAATGAAAAAAAGAGATTAATATGTTGCTGAAGATCATACAGTAAAAATGACAGTCTCCTCTTGAGCCTAGGTCTATATTCCAAAGACTGTGCTAATATTAGAAGAAATTGGGGAACATTTTCAAAATATGATATTTGAGCTGAGTCTTTAAAGGACAAACAAAAGTTAGCCAAGGAAAGTTTGGGACTTCAAAGGGAACGGTACTAATAACGCCAAGATACAAAGATGTTTAAGGAAGAAAAAGAAGCTTGGTATAGCCGAGGAATAAGTAGGTAAGGTAAATAGGGACTTATTGTGAAGGAGCTAAAGGCATTTTTAAGGGCTTAGGGCCTTAAAATATAAATATTCGTGAGAGGGTTGACTGATGATAGGATTATTTTAATAACTCTTCTTTGCAGAAACGGACCCGTAAAACAATGCGGTTTAGCAGTTGATATCTAGCTCGGATTTAAAGTTCAGTCAACCAGGAGACGACTTTTCCCCGAAGTCGGGGCAACCCGGACCTACGATTCCTATGGTTCCAGATCCCGCTGATTCCTGGCTCCCCGCCCTCTCTACTGCGCAAGCGCACACTGCTGAGTTAGCCAACCGGCGCCTTTGGTTTCGAAGAGAAAGCCCCGCCCCTTTCTTCCCTCCGCTGTCCAATCGCCTCCCTGCTTGGCCTTCTCCACGCGCCGTGGGAGTGTGACGCAGTATTCGCGCGTCCACATCGCGTGGAGCGGCGACGCCGAACATGGCGCGTTCCTAGAAGCGGCTTTCGGCATCAGTAGGCGGCGGCGTGGGGACTGGGAGCGTGGGGTGCCGGACCAACCGACGCCGCTTCGTGCTGGGAAGTGAAAGCGGGAGAGCCGGGCTGTTCCGGACCGAACCAACCGGTGAGGCTCCCGCCCGAGGCCCCCAGAACGCTGAGTAGAAGGAAGGAGTGGGCTGGGCAGCGGAGACCCAGGCGGACCGCGGGGCTACCGGGAGAGGAGGGGTAGCCTGGCGCGGCGAGGGCCTGCGGGCTTGGTTCTTTGCGTAACCCTGGGAACCCGTGGGAGCTCGGGGCTGTGCCAGTCGGACCGGAGCGGGAAGCATGGTCACGGAGGAATCGGGGTGCAGGAAGGCAGGCACTGGGTGCCCAGAAAGGAGAGCGTGGGGTGCCCATTGTGGCTGCGGTTGCGGGCCAGGGTGGTGCATTTGCCCTTGAGGGATAGAGACCCTGGTCGTCTTTAGTATAAAACCACTACTGCTAATAGCAATGCTGGGAAAGCTTTAATTAGACCCTTGCTACCCTTTAATGAACAAGTGAAGGAAGTTTGCACATTTTCGGAGAGGACCTGCTTGCTGAGGTATGGCCGCCAGTGCTCAAGCCCAGCGATTTCGGCAGCTTTATATTTGGGGGTCTTGGTGATTCAGCAAATCTATTTGAGGCCCATTGCATTTATTTATTTTTTTTTTTATGACATGGTGATTGAGGGAAGTAGTATTTCAGAATGACTTGACCAAATAGCAAGGACTGGTGAGTTGTTTGCTAGTGCCAAGATTGCCGTTTGACATATTCTCTCCCCACCCCAGCTTAAAGGAGCTCAGTTGTAGTGCGCTAGAGTCCTTGAAATTTGGTTATTCTTCAGAAGGGAGTAAGGAAGAGCGTTTTACAGCCATGCTTTTTTTTTTCTTGGATAAGGGAGGTCACTCCTCCATTTTCACATTATTTCAAACCTCTGTTCAGTACAGAGGTTTCAAGTTAAGGACAGAGTGACTACAATGGAAGATATTCATTGCACGATATCTTTTCTTACATCTTTAGTCACTGAGGAAGATTTTTGTGAAATTACAATGAAAATCTCTCCTTACTGATTGTGATAGGATTGTGGAATCCTTCCCTCCACCCCCCCCCCCCCCCAACCTAGCACAGGGAATAGTAGAAACAGTTTAATTATAGCAATGCATTGTGGCAATATGTTACAGCTCTAGGGCAGCTGGCCTGCCCTGTCCTAATTAGACTTCCTATAGCAGAAGAGAATTCTCACCAAAACCGATTTAGTTATGGTAATACGATTAGAGGTTCTAAGCAAATATGTGAAGATTATTTTATAATTAATGTAAAAATCCTTAGATTATGTGATACGTATATTGAATGGGTATGCATTCAGATTAAACCAGAATCCAAAGAATGCTTGTAGGATGAGATGCTAAAGAGTCTTCCAGAGATAAACACACATATTTTTTCCATAAATAAAAATATTCATATTTTGATAGATAATGTTTGATTAGATAGATTTTTAACCTTTGAGTTTTGTGTATGTATGTATATGTGTGTGTCTTTGTATTTATCTTGGGCTTCTCTTAATTTCTTGTTATTGCTGGCAATATTATTCATTCTTTTCTTTTTCTATCTGCACCAGATGGGGATTGTCAGTTAATATCAGGTGTTTCAGGGAATAGCAAGACACACTTAGTGCAGGTGTGAGTCTGAAGTGTCTTTGTTTGGTTTTGTAATATCAGGCTGATTACAGATAAGCTCACAATTACAAGATTTGTAGAGTTCGAGCTGGATCAGTGTTCTCCACTCTTGCTACTCAACGTGTGGTATATGGCCTCACCTGAGAATTTGTTAGAAATGCACTATCTCGCCCTAGCCGGTTTGGTTCAGTTGATAGAGCCTCGGCCTGTGGACTGAAGGGTCCCAGGTTGGATTCCGGTCAAGGGCACATGCCTGGGTTGCTGGCTAGGTCCCTGGTAGGGGGCATGGAGGAGGCAGCAGATCAATGACTCTCATCATTGATGTTTCTCTCTATCTCTCTCCTTCTCCCTTCCTCTCTAAAAGCAATAAAAATATATTTTTAAAAAAAGAAATGCACAATCTCAGCCTTAATCCCAGATTTACTAAATCAGAATCTGCATTTTAACAAGTGCTCCACATGATATGACACACTAGTTTGGTAAAGAAGACTGAGGTTATGCACAAACCTGCATTAAAATTATAGCATCATTTATTTTGATTTGAGGTGATCTTTTGCTGATTACTGAGTCTCATGTATCTCATTGAAGAAACTAAGGCCTAGCAAGGGTAAGTGACTTGCATAAGGTCACACATATCTAGATTTAAAACCCAGGTTCTGACTCATTCCAGTGCTTTTTGTTTGACAGATTATTAAAACTGAACCAAAGCATTCATGAATGACAGCAGGGTATACACTCAACAGCGAACATTTATTGAGTAATGGGCAGGCAGTCCAGTAATCCTGTGTGTCTCTAATAACTACTTGGGTTTCCTTTGGTGGCTATTAACCCACCATCTCCTTTCTTCCTTACTCTTTCCTGGATAATGTTGCTTTCTACTTCACAGAGGAAATGAAAGACATTGGTGGGAACTTCATTGCTTTTTTCCTGTTTCATCCTCAAATGTGTCTATCTCTACCTGTCCATCTT